AGGAAATTAAATACAGGCATTTGCTCCAGCAGGTATGGAGGACGGCTGCAGCACACAAACTTTTGTGACATTGGGAAGCTGGGGATCCTGTTTTGGGCTCGCAAGGCGGGAAAGTCCTGAGTTGATCAGCAACCGCATTTTGAATAAAAAGAACCTGTATCCGAACTGCTGGATAGCTCAAAGGTTTAAGTCAACCGCATTTTGAATAAAAAGAACCTGTACCCGAACTGCTGGATAGCTCAGTGGTTTAAGTCTCTGGCTGTGAAGCCAGAAGTTGGGAGTTCAATTCTCCACTGTGCTTCCTTGTTAGGGGCTGGACTTGATGATCCATAGGGTCCCTTCCAGCTCTGCAGTTCTAAGATTATTGATTGATGGATTGATTTGATTTGAATTCTACAGTGCTCCATTAATGCAATAGGCTGTTCTGAGTGGCTTACAATAAATAAGATACTTACTGTTAAGCTACTAATACGTGCTAAGAGTTATTGTTGTTGTTCTTGTTCAATAAGATACTTACTGTTAAGCTACTAATACATGCTAAGAGTTGTTGTTGTTGTTGTTGTTGTTGTTGTTGCTGTTGTTGTTGTTGTTGTTGTTGTTATTTGCAGGGGTGTTCTTGTTCTTGTTCTTGTTCTTGTTATATGTAGGGGCGAATTAAATTAAGCACATACTAGGTAATAGGTAAAGGTAAAGGTTCCCCTTGACATATTCGCGAAGGCTTTCACGGCTGGGATCTAATGGTTGTTGTGGGTTTTTCGGGCTCTTTGGCCGTGTTCTGAAGGTTGTTCTTCCTAACGTTTCGCCAGTCTCTGTGGCCGGCATCTTCAGAGGACAGCACTCTGTGCTCTGGTGTAGTTGGTTTGGGAGTGGAGTGTTTATGGCTGTGAGATGGGCTTTTGTCTTTTTCTGTAGATGGGTGATTAGTGTGTCTTGTTGTGGCTGTATTGTTGTGATAAGAAGGAGAGATTATCTGTCACTGTGGTTGATGGGTTGATTGATGGGTTGAGAGAGCAGTGTTTAGGATTGGCATGCTTACCTTTCCTAGTTGTGAGTTGGCAGCCATACAGCTGGCACACTGCACATGCTTCTGGCTATTTGTGGGGCTTCCGATGCCGCACAGTCTTTTTTGTTAAACCCTCCCAACACAGAACTCTCCTCTGGAAAGCCTCCCAGAGTAGCGATTCTCCTTTAAAACAAAACACCCTTCACATTCTGTTTCACACACACAAACTTGGTAATACAGTATAAGAAACTTCTAGTATTCGTTCTGGTCTCATGTTGGAAGGGAAGGCTAGTGGGACCTGGTATGCCCCAGGGGCAGGAAGACTGGCTGGTGGACCCCTGGGAGCCGATCCACTCTTTAGGGACGAGGGAGAAGCCTGGTTCTTTCTTTGGGGAATGTGTGGAGGAGAAGGCTGGCCTTGGCTCTTGAGAAGACTGCAGAGGGGGGAAGTCCCCCGGGGCCTTCTGCTTTCCCAAGGGTCCCTTGGTTACAGACTTAGAGAAACACCCTAATCCAGTGGGTCTCTTAATGAAAATGGAAGGGGTGGGGGGAGGAAATAGCAAACATTGAATGAGGAGAGAGAAGAGAGGAATGAAAAACTAACCACAGATGGTAGACAGTGAGTGGATCCATGGGAGGATATGAGAGAGAAGAACACACTGCATTGGTTGGTTGGTTGGTTGGTTGGTTGGTTGGTTGGTTGGTTGGTTGGTTGGTTGGTTGGTTGGTTGGTTGGTTGGTTGGTTGGTTGGTTGGTTGGTTGGTTGGTTGGTTGGTTGGTTGGTTGGTTGGTTGATAGATTGATAGATTGATAGATTGATAGATTGATTGATTGGACTTGTAAACCATCTCTTTAGTGACAAACCACTACTCTGTGAGGTTTACAGGAGAATGTGTAAGACAATGTTAAACGCAAAAAAAAATGCTTATGCTGAAAATAGCAGTAACAAAATAGGAAGTCAAGCATTGTAAACATAAACTAATAACATATGCCTTTATTAATGTTTGGATTTTTAAAATGTTGATGTATCTATTTTAATTTGTTGATGCATTTAATTATGTTTAATTGTTTTTTTAATTTAGTTATTAAAATGTATACAAAAAAAAGAAATTTACAAAACACGACCACTGGAAACCAACTTCAAAATAAATAAAAACACATTATCAGCCCTGTGCTATCTGCCCTCCACCGGGGAAGAGTTTCATTTTTTTATCTTTGTATTTCGTACTGCCACACATCTCTCTAAAAATACATGGATTCTTCTCCCAGTGTATACTCCTTCCCTTTCTCAAACACGTATGCCAAAAAGAACTTTGGATTCTTAAAGAGATCCTTTTCTGTTTTGCAGCCTGATTAGTCCTGCCTTGTACCATAGAGTTGGTCTTCAAAATTGAAAAGCAGGTGCAGATTCCTAAACTTTATGGGGTTTTTTTTGTAGTGTTTTGTAGAACATTAAATAAGTTACATAGCCTGGCTTTGGATGCGGTTGGATGGATACAGAACGGCAGTAAACTCCAAGTGATGGAGGGAGACTGAGTAATACTTGTGACCCTTCCAATCTCCTAAACTTAAGTGAACCCTTTGTCTTTTCTTGGGCTCTTACGGGTCTACTCTCCTTTCTCAGTGACCTCTGTGTTTTCATCTTCTCTTCTTTTCTACTACAGTGGTGCCTCGCTTGATGAGGATAATCTGTTCCAGTAAAATCGCCGTTAAGCGATATCCTTGTCAAGCGAAATAAAAAATCCCATTGAAATGCATTGAAAACCCATTCATTGTGTTCCAATCGGCTGAATAACTCACTATCCAGTGGGCGGCCATTTTCTGTCTTGCAAAAAAGCCTTCCTAAACACAGCGGGGAGCCATTTTGTACACCTAGTGGCCATTTGGAAACCTGTCGAGCAGCTGTTTTTGATCGTCATAATGCGAAGAATCGGTTCCCAAAGCAGGGAACCGATCATCGCAAAGCGAAAAAACCCCAAACATCGTTTTACGATTGCAAAAACTTCATCGTGAAGCGGATTCGTCATCAAGCGGGATAAGCGTTAAGCGGGCTACCACTGTATTAGTTTTAGTTCAGTTTCAGATTCAGCAAGCTTGTGCAATGAGGGCAGTACAGTGAAAGGTTATGTACACATGCTTGGGGTCTGTTTGGAAGTCAAGCTATTTTCTAGCTAGAGGAAAGGAAGCTAGTGCAGAGGTTCCTTCTTGCAGCCTGAGAGATCAGCTTCTCCTGGAAAAGAAAAGCATGCAATGTGCCAGATTCACCAGAGATGGGGCTTGAGCCACAGAATGCTCTGTCCAGTCAATCTGTCCAGTGACTCAGCTCATATTTTTTTCCCCAGTAACTTCGATTCAGTGGCAATTGGATCCCACTTCACCCCTCCAACAGCTTGTTTTTAATAGACACTCAGACCCGGGACAGCAGCTTGTTTTTAATAGACACTCAGATTTGGGGCTTGGGCCCAAAGACTTTGCCAACATCCCTGTGAATCGTGAGTTTGCAGAACTGGCCATAGTGCAGGGGTGGACAATTAATAGGGGGCCACATGAAAAATCTGAACTGTGTTCAGGGGCCGAACCAACTTTACTTAAAAATAAAATGAAACAGTGATGTTATGATTGCTTTTATTTTAAACTTGTTAATCTTCACAAATACCAAAGAGGGTTTTTTTTGCGGTATGTTACAGATAAGCAACTGGTCAACTTTAGAGAAAAAGCTACAAATGGTATTGATGTTCAAAACTGTCCGCGGGCTGAATAGGAGCGGCTCGCGGGCCGTATGTGGCCCTTGGGCCGCACTTTTCCCAGGTCTCCTATACAGTGGGGTATCTATTTAAGAACTTAATCCGTATTGGAAGGTGGTTCTCAAGTTGAAAAGTTCTTATGTTGAATCTGCATTTCCCATAGGAATGCATTGAAAACCATTTAATCCGTATCTGCTCTTTTCCATCCACAGAAACTACAGTGGAACCTCTACTTAAGAACTTAATCCGTTTTGGAATGGTGTTCTTAAGTTGAAACATTCTTAAGTTGAAGCAAAATTTCCCATAGGAATGGACTGAAAACCAATTAATCCGTTCTGGCTGTTTTTTTGTTAGGTAGAGGTGCGTTCGTACATTGAAGCATTAGTTCCCATAGGAACTAATGCAAAGCTGGTTAATACGTACTCTACTACTAGGGGGAGAATTTTTTTAACCTAAGATGACCTAAGGTTAAAAAAAGAGCAGGAAAGGTTTTTTATTCCTGTTCTTATCTTGGATTTCTGTTCTCAAGTAGAAGCAAAATTTAGCAAATGGAGCTGTTCTTAAGTTGGATTGTTCTTAAGTAGGGACGTTCTTAAGTAGAGACCCCACTGTAGTGGGTCTTTTCAGGATGGTGTGAGGCTTTCTGTGGTGTTGGTGATGGGGGTTTCTCTCCAAAAACTTTCAGCAGTCATTATTCAAGTACAGGAAACTACTTCTCTCCTGGAGGAGAGAGAGAAAAAGAGAGAGTCATAAATGAATATGTTGTGCACTCGGTATTGGTGAAACTTTTGCACCCCTGTTCTTTCCCATCCCTGTGGCTTTTTATGAACCCATTGCAGAGTTAGCTGTTGAAAGATGGGATCTGTCGTGCCTGCGTGTGTGAGTGTGTTTAATAAGGAGGAGAAGGGGTCCCACAAGCAGCATGAAGACAGATAAAAGACATATTGTGCTTTATGATGTCTGGATGCCCACCTGGAGAGAAGAGAACATAGGAGCAAAACAGAGTAAAATCCTGTTCTGTTCTGAAATGAGATGTGGGCACAGGAAGGCAGAGCATTCAACTTAGAAAAAAAAGGGGTAGTAGCTGTTAATAGCCCCTAGATGTACATATTTTATCAGAAGGTGCCATTTGGCTTAATAAAATGCAGATCTCAGAGTGTCCTTAAGCCACCATTTTCCTCTGGCTTAATTAGAAAGGTTATACTTTTCAGAGGACGAAAACATCATTCATTTCTCCGTTCATGTCTTCCAGGTTTATCTTGCTGATTATGGACTCGCCTACAGATATTGTCCCAATGGGAACCACAAAGAATATCAAGAAAATCCTAAAAAGGGCCATAATGGGACAATTGAGTTTACCAGCTTAGATGCCCACAAGGGAGTCGGTAGGTGTTTTTTTTTTTTTCTTTCCTCCCCCATTTTCTTCCTTGCACCACCTTCAATCCTTTCCGGAAAAAGATGAGCCATCAAGCTTCGTGAAGCATATAAGGGTAGCGGTGGATTTGGGTGTAGCTTCCTGAGCCTGTATCTCTCGATCTCTTGATCCAGCAAGGGTGGATGTTGGTGATCTGTGCTGTAGCAAAAGCAGTGTGTGGATTTTTGGGGGGTTCTTTTTCTTAGAAACTAGGGGGAATTGTATTTTCTTCAAAATGGAGTCATTTCCTAGGTGCTGGAATGCTAGACGTGATGAAGCTTGAGCCAGCAGCTCTTTGAATAGGGAATCAATGGCCTGCTGATCAGAAGGGGGAAACACAACTAATTTGCCTTGGCGATTCCGAGCCACCGGGCTGTAAGAGCTTCGTAGTCCTGGAGAACCAGCCTGAGGTCGCTGTGCGCTCTGTCACATAGCTTGGGAAAGGTCTGTGGTGGACTACGTGTCCCAGGATCCCCCAGTCAGCAGGGCCATTAACTGTGCTTCAGTGTGCGCCCTCCACATGTACTGAATTCCAAATCCCATCATCCCCAGTCAGTATTTTATTTATTTATTTATTTATTTATTTATTTGATTTGATTTATACCCCGCCCATCTGGTCTAAAAGACCACTCTAGGCGGCTTCCAATATAGTAAAA